CACGGACAAGTTTGATAACCGCCATTATCCGACCGTAATTACAGGAGTTATTACCCTTGGTTTCATTAATGCGATGCATGCGTTCCATGATGTTGTATTGCACTCATTGATCTACCAGTTATGTTGAATGATTTCTCTTTTAATATCAATTACTCACAAATACTTCATATATTTCAATCATACAAACAACTGCTCATTCAATGTGTGACGGGCGTATTATATACCGCTCGCGGTAACCTTGTTTAAAAATAACGTTCCCCCTTCAGTAAGATATTTAAAAAGCATCCACCCCATTTTACTCATTTTGGTGAATGCTTCTCTATATTTTCATTTCATTTTATGATCGATCAAATATCTCACTTCAACGGGTTGTTGACGACATGGTAAAAGACAATGATGAAATGAAAGTAAAATGTACCACACCCCTTACTGCAAACCAAGGGCAGCAACCATTTACTTAATAATACTTTTCCAAGGTTACTAAAATCTAAATTTCTTGTCATTATGAGATAGAGCATAATCAAAGAAGGTGGAGAACTATACCAAATACTGTAAAGTGTACATATTTTAGTGGTCACAAAGGACTTGGGCAATTTTTGGCCTCATGAAAAGTAAAAAAAAATCCACTTGAATTTATTTACCCATTTCTGTTATAAATATCATATGGGTTAATTTGGGCCAATGTTTTTCAAATGGGCATGCGGAGATGTTCTACCATAGCAGCAATATTGCTTTGCTATTATGAAATGGCCAAATAAGAGTTTTTTTGGACAGTTAACATGCAGAAATGAAAATCTCCGTAACATTTCATTTCTACGAATGAACACTGTTATGACAATGTTAAAGCATGTCAAATATCCATTTGTTTGATGCATGCAGAGGCTTTCAAAAATTAAAGAGTCTGTGGGTAATTTCCTTCAAAATGGCCAATTTTCAATCAAATAGGGCACAATGGACGATATACACACATTTTATTATCGGAAAAAGCTGGTTTATGTCTCTCTTCGTAATGCCATATCTCCTAAACCAGTTGTCGAACGAATTTGAAATTTCATATTTGCGTACTTCATGTATTCCAGATTACGAATATATCAACTTATTCTATATCCACAATGAGGTCGGAAATTACCCTTAAAGCGTCTTGGTCCTTATATTTTATAGCGTATTATCAAGTTTTAACAGATTAACAAATTAATAACTGATTTACCAAAACTTTCAATTAAAGCAATCATTTTTTTAAACGGTGTTTCAAACGTAGAGTGCTAAAATTGGAATACTTTTAAAATTGTACGTTTACAGTATAACAACGATAGTTAACAAATCGTCTTCCCATAAGTTATCATGAGCAGTTCTAGAGCATATCATTATATCATATTGCGATATCTTATTGTTAAAGTTAGTTGGTAGTTAACAGTTGTCTGTATTTTTAATGTATTGCTTGTTCATATCCTCAGTTTACTGTGCCACTTTTAATAATTTTCCCATCATGACTCTCTTGTGTTGATGGACTGTCTAGAATGGAACATACATATCCGATCCAAATTTTTTAAATGAAGCTATTTTGGATTTGACTCTGACAAAGTATTATAGTTTATATATGTTACAATGTGTCTGATTAGTTAAACATGATGTCACACCAGGTACACAAGGGTGAGAAAATATCAAGTCTCCCTCACTTGATCTAGTCGCCATCACATGATCCGCTTCTCTGTTTATTCCTTCTCGGAGCTTCTTTGATAGATTTATATTGCAATCAGTCCTGATAATTTTACTGTTTTTTATTGTTCTTTTTAGATATCATAAAATGTTTGTCCCCTTTGTCGTAGGGAAACATGATTATATAGGGAAACATGATAATTTGTTTCATTCAATAAATCATATTTATGAAATCAAAGCCTGTTGATGTCAAATATCACATTTCCTATGTCAAATTGCCATAAAATGATGATATTAAGAGGAGTGTGATGAATTTGGAACCTAATAGATTGATCAGACTTGGAGATCAAATGTTATACTCAAGATATCAACACCAAGGATCCTGTTTAAAAATACTTTGATCTTTTTTTATCAATTACGGAATCCTAAGCATAGATTCTCTAACACTTGCAATAATGTTCAAAATTTGTATTGATGTGATGTCACAATTACAGCCTTTTCAGTACAATTTGATCTAATAACACTTTTTAAATCCAAAATATGTTTTGCTGGAAAGGTTCTAGATATGTGTATTTTCTGCAATAGGGTAAAGAGCTGAACAGATCTGGTCAAATGAAATTGACCCCTTGGCCAACTTTCATAATTTGGTAAATGTCAATGATGTTTTTGAGATTGTTTGTTTCCAGTCCAGTTAAAAATTGCTTTTTTTTTTTTTTTTTTTAGAATTAAAGCATTTGTCGAGATATGTATTGTTTTAATTTAGCCAACGATTTTGACAATAGCATTTTCAGTATTGTAATAACAATTGTGGTCATACAATATATATACATATTGTTTACATTGTGCCATTGTTTTGTGCCATGAATATGTAGATTTTTAGTATTTATTATCTGCCCTGGGGTTTTGGTGATGTTTTTATCCATAGTTACCGACAGACTTGATACATTTTCTGAAATTATTATTTAGCAAAGATTGTATGATATGTTGCATGTTCATTTATCGATACTCTATTAAGGCTTTGGTAGGCATACTTCTGTACCACTGAATAAACATATATATCTACGATGACTTGATTGGGGACAGATGCTGTAGATGTAAAAAAAAAAATCACTGTTTTCTAAAAATAAAAAAGTTTAGAACAAATAAAAGCACCAAGTGAAATCATTGACATAGGTTATAAATTATAATCGTTATGATGTAAAATTACCCAAATATGTTCTGGTCTCTGATCCACTTAGAAATTACGATGAGATTGAATTAAGTCTGTCCATATTAAGATCGCTTGATGTTGTAAACTTCAAAAATATTCGAGAAAAACAATATGTTCACCATTGAAATTTGCTGAACTGTTAATCTCTTTTGGTATTTTCCTTAATAAATAAGGGGCGGGG